ATTGGATGGGAAGAGGTCTTTCGCTTTCGTTCATCCAAATATCTTCTCTTCAGTAATTATCATTTTGGCGTAATCAAAAATATAAAGATGCATTTCAACTTTCATTTGGGAAATGGCTATTGGTGTCACCATCAGTGCCACTTCTTTGGCATCCGTATTCCAGTTAAGATGGTGATATTGAGATAGGGTAAAAAATAAATGTAAAATAAAAAATAAATATTGCTGGCGTGTAATTAACTGGATTCTTCATCGAAACCGATAAGATGCCTAAAAAGAGGCAGGCGCCATGTTACAGCCCCTGGTATCCTCAAGACCGGGTTTAATTCAGAATATCTGAGATAGTGCCTCACCTTCTCTGTTTACTCAATTCTCATTGGCTATAGTCAGCGGATAAATTCACACGATTTATCTCATCTTCCAACGTCAAATTATGCTCCTCTGGTGCGTTGTAATTCCCATTTACAAAAAAAATTCATACATCAGGTTTATTCAACTATTATGATCAACGATAGTAGCTCGTTAGGAGCCATGTAACCAGCAGGTTGCAGTCTCGCGATGTTAAATGTAATGTTAATTGAAACATAAACATGTGTCTCGATGTCGCAGGGCTCATGGCATCAGGTTCCACCTGGGGGCTTTACCCCATTCATCTCCGAGAAAAGTTGGAAATTCTTTGGGTGACGGGTTACATGTGGGCGGTTTATTTCACAACGGTTCATTCATTTATTTTATTCATTTATGGTGTTTCCACAGAGGTGACACAATTTTTCTTTCGTTCATCTCATTACATTTATAATTTGAGAACAATTTAATTGAGTCGAAATGAAGAAATGATTTCAGATTGACTTCTCAGTTTTTCTCGGGCTTCAGATCATTCTTTTTCAGAGTTCTTACCGAATTCTCAAACTCCGTGAATAAAATATCGTCTGAAAATAGTTTTATCATGCGAAAAGGATAATCCCGCGCGATGCGTGGGTGTTTTTGGCGCCTGACACCGATCCGATGTCTTTATATTCAGTTTGAGACAGTCAACATAGGTTTTCTCGTGTTCACCGAGTCCATACCACGGGTTTGTATACCCCAGAGCATTGGCCATACATCTGCGGTACGAGGCGTAACGGAATTCT